GCGAACGCGGTGTGCACCAACACGGCTGGGTCGTACGCTTGCAGCTGCGCGAGCGGGTACACGGGCGACGGGTTCACGTGCGCTGACCGGGACGAGTGTGCCGGGGACAGCAACCCGTGCGACGAGAACGCGTCGTGCACCAACACGGCGGGCAGCTTCACGTGCCAGTGCCGGTCTGGCTGGCAGGGCGACGGCGCGACGTGCGCTGACGTTGACGAGTGCACGACGGAGGACGCGTCGCTGGCGCACCAGTGCGACGCTGCGCACGGGACGTGCGTGAACACCGCTGGGTCGTACGAGTGCACGTGCGAGAGCGGGTTTGAGCTTGCGTCTGACGGGCTGAGCTGCATGGACGTTGACGAGTGCGCTGAGAACGGCGGGGTTGGCCCGTGCGACGGCAGCCACGGGGTGTGCAGCAACACGATTGGCTCTTACGAGTGCGGGTGCGACGCCGGGTATGCGCTTGGCGCTGACGCGCACGCGTGCGAGGACGTGAACGAGTGCCGGAGCAGCGACAGCAACGGGTGCGACGAGATTCATGGCTCATGCGTCAACGTTCCAGGCTCGTACGAGTGCGCATGCGAAGCCGGATGGCAGCTGTCTTCTGATTCACGCACATGTGAAGATGCTAATGAGTGTGCGGCAAACGGCGGTGTTGGCCCCTGTGACAGCGAGCGTGGCTCGTGCGCGAACACGATTGGGTCGTACACGTGCAGCTGCGATGCCGGGTATGAGCTGGGCAGCGACGGGCACACGTGCGAGGATGTGAACGAGTGCTTGAGAAACACGCACGAGTGCTCGCACTATTGCAAGAACACGCGTGGGTCGTATGTGTGCACGTGTCCTGACGGCTTTGTGCTGGATGCATCGGGCCACAACTGCTTCTTCTTCTTCTCGACCCCTGTTGGCGAGACTACCACGACAACGACCACCACGACCACCTCGACCACGACAACAAGCACAACGCCAACCACGACGACGACGACAAGCACGACGACGAGCGAGCCTGCAACGACGACGGCTGTTGCCTCGACGACGACAACATCAGAGCAAGTGGCGACGTCTGCTGTTGGCCCGGTGCAGGTGCTGCTGACGGAGAGCCTGAGCTACGCGAACCTGAACTGCACACCTGACGAGAAGCATGTGCAGCTTGCGGAGGATGCGGGCGTGCGGGATGTTGTGATTTCGGCGTTTGCGTCTGTTGCGCAGGTGTCTGAGATTGTTCCAGTGCTGTTTATTTCTCCGGCGGAGCAAGCGCTTGTGCTGCAGTATGCGGTTGTTGTGAATGAGGAGGATGTGGCAACTGCTGAGCAGATCGCCAGCGACGTTGCCGATGAAGTCACCAACATCATGAAGGTGTGTTGTGTTAGACATGCCGTCTTCCTTTCGTGCGGTGCTTCGTGTGTTTGATTCCTTCTTGGATGCCGTCATTGATTGGAATTTCTTGTCTTGTGCGTTTGGTACTCACGTCACACCACTTCCTGCTTTTGTCGTTTCTGATAGGGCATCGAGGAAGACGATGCGGTTTCGTGTGTTTTCTTTGTGGGTGTTGATTTCACACGCAAGTCTGACAAAGAAGTGATTCCCAACGACACGAAGCTCGAGAATGAGTCGACGGGTGCCGGCATCCCGATTGTCGTTATTGCCGGTTCGTTCACCCCCTCCTCATGTGTGGCCTCACTCGCTTATGCTGACGCATGTGCCTTCCAATTCTATCTAACCTTGCTTCTTCCCTTGGGCTTTTTATTTTATTTTTCAGGCGTGGCCGCTGTGTGCGTCCTGCTCGTGCTGGTGGTCATCGCTGTTGGAGTGACACGGCGACGCCGGGCACAAGGCGGGTACGGTTTCAGTCTTGGCGCAGCAAAGGACGCCGAGACAGGCGACTTTGACAACCCGATGTATTCAACACGTCGTCGCAACGTTGGATTTGATAACCCAATGTGAGTGCATGAACCCCTTCCCTGGAAGCTTGTGTGCTTGGTTGTTTGTAGGTGTCTGGGTGCGCGCGTTTCTTAGTGAAGACGGGACTGAGCTTACCATGCTCTGCTGTCTTTCTTGTGTTGCAGCTATGATGACCTGGATGATGGGGAAGAGACAGACCATGACCACGAGCGTCGCGGGTCCCTGGAGTGGGACAGCTACTGAATGAAGACTTGAGTCACAAGCTTGTGACCTCACAACCCCGGTTGCCGTGGCTTCCCTCTCCTTGTTCCATCCCGTTCTCTGTCGTTGCTCGAGTTATCTTTCTTGATGCTCAGCATTGTTTATGGATTTGTTCTGTGTCGTGCTTGAATGCAACTACGTACGTGCTCCTTTCGTTGTGTGTCCTTTGCTGTTCATGTCTTTGTTCAATTTCGCTGCTCGTGTCTTTTCGTATTTGCATCTCATTCTCTCCTGCGTGCAGGACACGCCCATGAGTGTGTGTCTTGTGCGAGTCACATGACATCGTTGATTCCCATGCAACGGTGCTTCAGACGGTTTTATTTCTGCTCTCATGAGTAAACAGTACAAAGTCAAGCTATGAAACGAACATATTCGGCAGATGGTTGCGCGCGTTTGGTTTTCGCGCTGCAACACATCGCCGTGTTGCGAGACCAAGTCACTTCGTGACCACTTCAAGCTATTGCTCACAAAGCAAAGCCACAAGCAAACAAACAACACATACATGTACACAGCAAGCTCGCCCTACACAAACACCCTCATTGCACAAACACTCACGATGTACGAAGCACAAGTGCGACACAATGCAGACATTCAATCAGTCAATTACGTCGTGTTCTTCCTTCATTCAGTACGAGTCCCACACCAAGCTGCCCTGCTTCTCCATTGGCGCAGTGTCGTGCTCCTCCTCGTCATTCTCTGCCACGTCATCGTAGATGGGATTGTCAAAGGCAACATTGCGCTCCTTGGCAGAGTACATCGGGTTGCTGAAGTCATCGTCGGTTGCGCCCGTGCCAGCGCCGAGATCGAAGCCGTAAGAGGCAGAAGCGCGTTTGCGAACCGCCGTCGCCAGCACGATCAGCGCAATCAAGACCAGCACGCCAGCACAGCCTGTTTCAAAAGCATTCACAACCAGCACAAATGTGAGTATCAAAGACACAATGAAAGCATCCAAAGCACAGAGCTCTCTAAACACTCACAGGCAGGTGATGACACACGAATGCGCATTTACGCACCAGCTATGGCGGCGACGGGAATAGAGATGCCATTGGAGTTCGATGATGAGTTTGTATCTGAGGGAACAACTTCCTTGTCAGACTCGCGTGTGAAATCAATGCCGACGAAGAACAGGCACTGAACTGCATCTTGTTGCTCGATGCCCTGCAACAAAGCGAGGTGTAAAGCAAGTAAAGCGGTGATAAGGTGAGCAACGTACACAAGGAAAAAAAGACATGCGAGCAAGAAGTGGACCAAACACACGAAGCACCGCACGAAAGGAAGACGGCATGTCTAACACAACACACCTTCATGATGTTGGTGACTTCATCGGCAACGTCGCTGGCGATCTGCTCAGCAGTTGCCACATCCTCCTCATTCACAACAACCGCATACTGCAGCACAAGCGCTTGCTCCGCCGGAGAAATAAACAGCACTGGAACAATCTCAGACACCTGCGCAACAGACGCAAACGCCGAAATCACAACATCCCGCACGCCCGCATCCTCCGCAAGCTGCACATGCTTCTCGTCAGGTGTGCAG